AAAAAAAAAAAAAAAAAAAAAAAAAGAAATTATGTATACAATTAATATTACTGAACTGCACATTTAAAATGATATATTTTAAATCTGAATAAGAAAGACTACCTTAAACACAAATACAAGTGCTGAACAGAGATACACATATATACACATATCCATACACATACCAAATTGTACAACATTGTAAAGAGATGAAAGACAGTGTATGAAACTCATAATGACAGATAAAGAAATCATGAAGAGATATTAGAAAAAAATTATCAGGGTGAATTTGCCTTTAAAAAAATCTAGAGGGCATATGGGTAGAATGAATAGTGGGTGGGAGTATGGGTGAAAGAAGACTGGGTACATGATACTGCTGAAGCTGGGTGATAGCATGAATCACATGGCTTTCCTATACTAGTCTTCACAGTTCTGTAGATATGAAAAATTTAAAAACCTGAAAAGCAATACATGATAAAGGAAGATTTTTTTTTTTTTTTTTTTTTGGTAACAGGGCAGCAGCAGGCAGTGGAAACACTGAACTAAATCCCTGGCCCAAGAAAGATATATTAACAAAAGCAAAGTGACATGGATAAAAAGCTTTCAACTATATTTTAAAAAATGATGAAATGCAGAAATAAACAGATACATCCACAGGAATAATGAGGCTTTTATCAGCAACTGAGGATCAAGTAGAATAGAAATAATAAGGATACTGACAAATTATACAGTTAGCAAGCTATATTCTCACTCACATATCCATATATCTGCACCAATGAACAGAAAATATATATTCATTTCGAACTCAGAGGAACACCTCTCAAATTGACCATGTGCTAGAATATTCTATAGGCTAAGACTCTTGTAGGACTTTTCACAGTTAGGCCACATTTACATGATACTTGTAATGTGCTTCATTAGGTAATCTAGGCTTTCTGAAACATTTCATTTTCATAAGAAACAGGGAAGTTGTTATAAAAGTGAGACTAAAGTTTAGTCATTTGTACAAAGTTGCAAAGAAGGATAAATGACAGTCAGGACCTAAACTCAGTTCTGTTGAATGCCTTAGCCTGGTCAATTTTCCCTATGCCATACTTCCTCAAAAAAATTCATTTAAAAAAAATTTTTTTTTGGTACTAGGGACTGATTCCAGGTCCTTGCACATACCACTCAAGTGCTTTGCAACTGAGTCACGCCCCCAGCCCCTTCACAAAATTCTTGATTAAGACAATTCAAGATCACCAGAGTCTTACTTTCACTTACCTCTCCAAACTTATGACTTTAGAAATTAAACATTAGATTTTGGTAGAAAATGAATGCAAAATATTCCCTAAAGGCCTCAGTTTTTATCTAAGTGTGTCCTCCTGAAACCTACTAGGAGAAAATCATTTTTCAGTAAAGGCTTACCTGTTTATTTATAGGTATTTTTGTAAGTATTGTGCTGAGTTTTTTTATTATGATGCATATGTGGAAATCCAGGGAGTTCAACTTTACTGGAGAACTTTGCTATGTTTAACATAAACATAAAGATTCTTTCAGGCCACTGGCATTTCAGGTCACTGGCCATCGGAAGATGCTGTTTCCATGGCTTGGGAAAAGGTGCACTTTCCTAAATATCCACCAGACACCCTTAGCATTGCTTCACACAGAAAGGGAAAGGTCCAGTCTGTTAAAGAACCACTTGAATAACAAATGTAAATGAAGGTACTTTACTCACCCAATTCGTATTTTCAGCATGCCACTGAATAACTCAGGGTTATTGGAGATGATCCAGCCAATATGTATAACCAGTTCTTGTTGAATAACTGCTTCCCTCTCATCATGGGTATTACACTTATAATAGATGATGTTCTTAATCACTCTTGGAGACAAAGGATTAGAGATAACTTCTTCTTCATGCCCAAAGGCACCCAGAGTTACCTACAAGTGGCAGAATCTTACTGTAAAAATTTCCTAGCTACTAAAAGTTTAAAAAAAAATTCAAAGCTCAGGATGACTGGCAGGCTGAAATTGCTCTATACAACCTAGGGAATTAGGTGGAATAACTGTTCTTGCTATTTATTAAAATGGCTTTCAAAGCATAACTCCCAGTGGAGTTCATAATGGTTCAGAGTCTGGCTTAAAAAATAAATGCAGATGAGGGTCTCAGTTAGGGGAGTGAAGGTTAAGTCGATATAAATAACTATTAAGATAAAATTATTTCCAATGACTTTATATTAGAAACTCCCCCGAGAAGCGAGAATACAGTGAATAGTTTTACTTTACTACACAGTCTACACAATCTAGTATTTGAAAAATATACTTTTCCCTTCTTTTACCATTTCCCAGGAGGGACTTTTTGCTCTACAACACTGTAACTTTTTCAAAGGCAGATATGAGGTCACCCAGCTCCTGCATAGGCCTCTCTTTCCCTAGCATAACACTAGCAAGATCTCTCCCCTGTAGAAAGGGATGAATGAGGCTGCCACAAGCCTGAGAAAGGAAAAACCACAGAGAGAAACAGCAAAGAAAATTCAAAGCAGAAAGTGCTGGTGAAGCTGGGAAGAGAATATCTAGTCTCTCCTCTCCTCTCTCCGTGGCCCCTTGCCTCCAGAAGAGTCTGCAGCTCCCCATCCTCCTCAGTATGTCTTTCCATCTCTCTTCTAGGTACAGTGCAGTTATGTGAGGCAGTAAAATAAAAGCATATCAAAGGGCACTTGTGTTTTCAGAGGTGAGGGAAGGGAGCGGAACATGGCAGAACATGCCCCAGTTTTGTAATGGAGTGTAATGGCTACTTTATCATATGACAGTGATATCAACCAGTTAGGCCAAGTATGATTACTTTTATTAAAGTGCCACAGTGTAAAGAAGAAAACAAACAGAATGTCTTCATTGCTTCTGAAAACGTTGACTAAACAAGCCACTGTTTCACGTCAGAGTGTAGGGTGGCCTAAAAGTGCTTTGCACAAACAGTATTACTTCAGTTATCCGGGAGGCATTTCAAGGCTGAGTACCCTGTTTTGCCCCATTTTCATTTTCTGTTTTTGTAAAGGGTTAGGACACAGTCAATGAATGGATTTGGTGTACCTGGTAATGAAAATGAACTGCTAGCCTCCTGGGTCTACCCAGCTCTGTACAGCACTACCTCCTTGGGAGATAGGCTGGTCTGATGGGCAAAGGTCCAGCTTTAGCCTTAGGGCAGGGCAGACTGGAAGGCTTCTGGAGTGTGAGAGCAGGGTCTCAAGCTGCCAGCCCTGCTAGGTACTGTACAGAATAGAGAGGATTAGCCCAAACCCAGCCCTTCTCAGCGTGTCAGATGCAGTGACTGCAAAGATATGCAAAGCCTGAAGCATGTTCACATGCAGCAGAATTAACTTTATTTTTAGATACATTATAGGGACCTAAAATTAAGGAAAAATAGCCTATTTAATATTATCTCATAGTTGGAATGGTCCAGGAGAAAAAAATATGACTCTGGGCTGGAGGTGAGGTTTCTGGTAAGGAGAGGCCCAAAACATGTCCTGTACTTTAGTCTGCTTTAGCTGGCAAATGGGGATGAAAAGTTTACCTTTTAATAATTTGTAGAATACAGAAAATAGCATATATGAAAAGTAACGTAACTTTTCTTCAGGAGTTCATTAGTATAATTATTTTTTAATTGGTAGCAATATTACAGAAAAAATAACCAACTTATTACTCTAACATTCCAGAAGCTGGATATCAGGATGAAATTATTTCAGTCTAAATTAAGAGCACTAAAATGTCAGCCATTGGTTGATTCTATTATAGATGGTTAAAGTACTTCATATTACTAAAGCTTATTATATCTCCAGGTTAGCTAACATGAAAACACAATAAACACATATATTCCCAAAGAAGAGAAAGCAAGCAAGCAAGCAGGTTTCAATATAATCAAAGAATGATTCAGCCAGGTAATTAGAAATTATAGAGAACAAAACAAGAATGAGCAGCCATATTTTAGTCCACACATTTACATGCAGAGGCTCAATTCAACACATATTTACCAAGTACCTACTCTAATCTAGGTCCAGTGCTGGGCATGCTGGAACATGTGCTGGACAAGATAGGCCCTGGCCTCGGGCGCTCACAGCCTACCATTCAAATAAACTGGAACCACACATAGACTGATACATGTCATGAGCCCGATGGAAACCCAGAGGAGAGACTGCAGCAAATTAGAGACAGCTTTGTGAAAAGAAGATGACAGAGTCGGCCTTGGTGGGTAGAGAAAAGTTGGGGGAAGAGATGGCCCAGGGAGTGAATACTCTAGAGAGCAGCACTGGCTATGCAGACTCTGGTTTTGCCTGGACACCAGTGTGTTCTAATGAACATGAGGAGCTCAGGTGAAGCAGAAGAGGAAATGTGTCCTGCACTACTCACCTGTCTTTGCTCTGCCTATCCTACACCTACCTGGAATACTTTAGTAGGTAGTATTTCACTTTCTGTACCTGCACCTGCAATGGTCTCAAGTTACAACAAGTCAAAAGGTACAGCTTTGAGATGCAGCAGGAAAACAGGATGCCCACTTAATAACAGTGCAACTTTAAGACTGTATCTTTTTTGCTTGAGAAAGGAGACTTGTGGAGAAACACCTGAGCCATTATTAACCTGTGTATAAGAGGTCTATGACACTGAGGTGTGCCAGATTTAAAATTAAGTACTCAACCTAGAAATTTTCACAACAGTGATCAAATGAGTGCTGAAAAGTAGATACTTACCTGTTTGCCCTGCACTAAAACATTAGTAATGGATGGGGCCAGGCTGTCCACTACTTTACTTAAAAGACTTGCTGCATGGCGTACAACCGACCTGGGGGCAAAGAAGAGAGTAGGCCAGATGTTCACAAACCTATAATATGATGCATGAATGGGGCCCTGATTACAAAACCTTTTAAAAACATATGTGCTTGGGTCCTCATGTGATTATTTGGAGGAAACACTAAATGCAAGAGATTGGACCTCATAGCAGAAATTTTTCCAGCCGGTAGAACCATCCAGAAGTAGGGAGGGATAGTGCCTCACTCTTACCTGTGTATCACAGGTACTGTTGATGACATTATCAATTTTAAAGGGAAGACAAGGGAGCCTATTTCTCTGAGTTAGGGAAGGAGTGTACAGGAAGGAATTAAAAGAATGCTCCAATTTGCATTAGCAAATTCAGTGTAAATTCATTATTAAGTCATTATTAAGACTGGTTGGGACCGGGGATTTAGCTCAGTGGTTCCTCCACCTACCTTGCAAGTGCAAGGTACTAAGTTAGATCTCCGGTACCAAAAAAAAAAAAAGACTGGTTGATGTGACCTATTCTTACAATCACTTCATGTGCTCGTTTCAGCAGCACATATACAACCACTTAAAAAATCATGTTTCTTTTTGTACCTAGACAACCAAATCCCTGGATTAGAGGGCCCAGAACTGAACTTTAGAAAATGCTATAATGAAATACCAGCACTTATTTTTTCCTTGATAAAGCTAGAATGTTGGGGGAAGGAATTCACACTGCTATTTTTACATTCCTGAAAAAGTCTAGAATATAGGGAGAACAGATGTTTTTTTTTTAAGGCAGCACATGAAATACACAGGACATTTTTCCCTCAGAAGTAAAAATTCATGTAGAACATTTAGATGGAAAGAATAAAATAAAAATGTAGTTTTGAAACTAGCTGCTATTTTTAAAAACTTTGTTTCAGGATATACACAGAAACTGGCCTATAAAAAGCATTGTACTTCTTAATTTCAACATAAACAGACAAGTAGAAAATTAAGCTAATAACTAATAAAGTTAGTGAAACAAACACTTCCTACTTTTAAAAAAGCTTTCACCCACACACTATAAGATGAGAGACACACTTAATCCTCAGAGTGCAAGTAAGCCCACACATTTCAAGCAGCTTGGATTTCCAAGTTCTGAGCATATTACCTGTTTCCCATGTACCAGAAAAGTAGTAATGTGTGGGGCTATAGAGGAAGAAAATTTCTGGGTAAATGCAGCCCCGTAGCGTACCGCCAACCTGGGTGTGTCAGTGGAAAGCCATAAAAGGGAAAAAAGAACAAATAAAACTTCCAGGAGTTTGTTCTTTTAAACAAAACAGTAGGTAGTTAATGATTTATCTATGATAGAAATACAATACAAAAAGCAAGAGCAGGTTGGTTTAGCCAAAAATAAGACTAGAGACCACAATTTGAAATTGGCTGGCTAAAAAGCAACATGTATTGGCTTGAATGCCTGCCTGCCTGTGCTGAGAATTTACAGTGAAAGTTTAAGAAACTATAGGATTATTCCATTATTTCTAAGTTTACTATAAAATAGAGGTGACAGATTATTAAGAGACTGTTTAATCTAGCCCTCTGATTTGGAGATTAGAAATCTGAGGCTTACTGACGTTAGGGAGTTTCTTATGGCACTGCCTAAGACTTTTCAAAAAAATTAGTAACTAGCTATGTGAAAAAAATGTACATGTGTGCTGTTACTTTAGATTCTCCTAATAACATTTCCGGAGTTACATCAAAATGCAGAGGGCCATGCATTTAGGCATACCTTCCTCATTGTGAATTTAAACAATTTCATTTAAATTTACATATATACATATTTATTATTCTTTTAATTCCTGGGAAGAGAACTTTTATGTAGGAAAAATGGTTATTTTTCATGAAGTGGTTACAATCACTGGGACTCATCCAACTTAAATGATGAGAGAATCACCTTTTAAGTACAGTATTTCTGCCTTTCATAAAATGAGCCATTGGTCTCTCTCTCTCTCGTCAAGGCCTTCTATGGTAACAGAACAGGTTTTCTACATACAAAATAGAACCTGAAGCACTTGCTGGGACGGAGGAGGCAGAGCAGGAAAGAGTCACTAGGAATCATTCCCATGAATACTCCCCTGGTTAATTCCCTGTGGAAGTCTTTATTCCTAGTTTTTTTCTTTAGTATCTTGGCACAACCATGCTACAGTGGAATGTAGGCGCAACCTAAGAAAGTACACACTCTTGGTCCATAGGCTTGGAGTTAAAAAGTAAAAATGAGGACAAGTAATCATGTTTAAGACTGGTCCACTGTCTTTAGGCTACTGAATATGACAACACAAAAATAAAATATAATGACAAGGACACTAATACAAACCAAAGCTTTTTGCTGCCAGCTCTTCTATAGACTCTCTCAATGTGATCAGAAACGGTACCTAGACATTGGATAATAGAGTCTTTGTTGAAGAAAGCTTTTACTTAAATGTACAACATTTAATCACCTTTAAAAAAATCATTTATGAATTTTCATTTTGTTCCTCTAGAGTTGATACCCCCATCCTTTAAGGTTCTGAACTATCTGATAATTTTAATATGTAACCAAAGTAAGTAGAATGTGAATGTCCCCAGCATTTGTCAATATTTAGTCTGAGTATATAATCTTGGTATTTTATTTCTTGAAATATAATGTGAACTTTAAACAAATTCAAATGTTATTTTAATTTACTGCAGAAAATAGCAAAATTGGTAAACTGAACAAATACTGTAGACTTTGAATATAATGACTTTTTATTTATTTATTTGTTCAATGAAACTTCACTGAGGCCGTATTATATATATTGGGTTATTACCATTCCAACATATTCCAGAGTTCAAAACACACCATAAGCTTTCTTCCTCTGGCTGCAACTTACATGTGGTCTGGCCTCATAACTGGTTTTGACATTATGTAAACAATATAACAAGAAATCACACCAAAAAGTAAATACAGGTAAAGAACAAGATCTTTGAAGTTTTATTTTGACCTTATTTTTATCATCTTATAATGAATTAGATAGTTATATTAAGATTCTATAGATGCTTGTGATTTTCAATTTATCATATGGTTTTATAGGTTTAAAATATTTAAAGCCTTTCAAAATCTAAGTAAAAGATGAATATTACTCTTGTTTATAAAAGTAATTCCCTCAGTACTTTCATGAACTATTTTATATGAATTTTATTTTATTTAAAAGCATTACTAAAATCATTCTAAATTCTAGGTTTCTAAAGAAATGTTTAAGTTTTTGGGGCCCTGGGATTTAGCTCAGCGGTTCAGTGGCCTGCCTTGCAAGCGCAAGGACCTGAGTTCAATCCCCAGTACGAAAAAAAAGAAATGCTTAAGTTTTTAAAAATCTTCCTTTTTTTTTTTTGCTTGGCTAAAGTTCAAATGTCAATGACTATTCCAAATAAAATTAAAATGCTGCTTATGCCAGGTCTGGTGCCACTCACCTGTAATTCTAAGATTTTAGGAGGCTAAGGCAGGAGGATCACAAGTATGAGCCCAGCCTGGGAAACTTCATGAGACTCTGTCTCACGATAAACCATAAAAAATGATGGAGACTATAGATCACTGGAAAGACCCTGGATCTGATACCCAGTACTTAAAAAAAAGTTCTGTTTATGCTATAGTTATGAAACTAATTTTCTAATTAGAGAATGATTTTGTTTGAAATTTTCTTAATAGAACTCAAGAAGTTTATCTCTTAGCTACAATAACACAAAAACTAAGTAGACTTCATTTGAATAAATAATTATGGTTAGCTCATTGCCAGAACTATAATAGTTAATGAACCTCTCTTTAGGACACTAACCCAATTTCTGCTTCTAACCAAATCAACATGCACCTCTTAACAGTATATTCAAATGAGCTAAAAATTTTTGAGCAGCTAGACACTAAGTACTTGAAACATAGTCTATATTATTCTGTACTATAAAATGCCAGAAGCAGACTATGATGTAGAATTTGAGAATTTTTTACAGTAGTGACCCAATATAAAGTATGGATTTCAGGGATAAATGGATTTCATTTTTAATGCAAAGTAGACATAGACATGATTAGACACGATTTATTTTTATTAACTATCTTCAGTGCACAATTCTATTAAATGCCATGTTCCATTCCAAAAGGCTGCTGCAGACCATGAAGAAGCTAATTTTTATAGACATAACTATTCAATATTATTCTTGGAAAAAATTACAGGAAATAAAACTGGAAACAGAAACTGTCAATAAATAACTATGGAGTCATTAGAGGTTAACAGTCAGGCAGAATCCAGGCTCCAACACTGTTCAAACAATCAGAGAAACAATCAAGCACAACTGCACAAAAACATGTAGGAGTTCATATGTCAGCCTTTCCATTCTCCAGGGTATGAATGAACACTCTATTTAAAAGAAAAAAAGGTTTACTGGAGGAGGAAATAACTTGTAACATTTTAGGGGATATCTTTTATGCATATTTGACACATGTTCAAGAGGAAAGAAGTCCTGTTATTTAAAAAGTTCTAGATATGTTTTCTTACCTTCCATTGTGATGAAGTTGGGGCCTTCTCTTTTGAGCAGTATACCCAGCAGGACAGCTTGGCCAGCCAGACAACTGCAGTCCTGAAAATATAAATGAACATGAGGAACTGGAATAAAATGAATACAAGAGTTACGATAGGGATAACTAATTACAAAACCATATGATACAGAGAAAAAAATACTCTTATGAAATTGAGGAAAGATAAAATATTACTGATATAACAAGCATAAGATAACATTACACAACTAGTTATCTTAGATACTGTAGAGAGAGAGTAGACAAACTGGCTTCCTGGGGTAGCAAGACTGAATCAAATTTTCCAGGAAACTAAATAAGCAATGAACAGAAAACATGTTGTCTACAAGTACTGATACTTATTTTGCCATTCTCTGAGATTTGGCAAGTCATTTAAACTGTTCCTTCTTGACTCTATTTATTGGTGTAAGTGGGAGGCCATGTTGTTATTTACCTATCATAATGAGATCCATGACAGGAGGGGAGATCTGTAGAGGGCTTCTTATGGATTAGGCCACTCTGCTATGTGCTTTAAGACTTTATATCACATTTATCCTTCTGTAGATTTAGATAGTATATACATTAATGACTGATGATGTCTAGAAGGATATGTATCTAGTCTACATGTACAAATTTGTACGGTCCAAATAAGGTGGCACAGAGGTAACAGTTCTACCAGTACAATTTCATTTCTTTTTTAAAAAATATGAATAATCTCAGGAAAAATAAAATACTAGGTTGCTAAAATGTACATGTAGTCAGACTATTGCTTTCCTCAGCGACAGGAAAGACTAAGGGAGCAAGAGACCTCAGCAGGAGAGAAGATGGAGTGGAAGTGGAAGAGAAAGAGGACTGAAAGAAAATTATGAGAAACCAAAGTCAACCACCACTGACTTCTTTAATGACTCATACAACATTCTCATATCTAAATTAATCCCAATCATCTTCTTAAGGCATCCATGCTAAGTTTAAATCAACCTCCCATGACTGCCCCAGGTAAAGAACAGCCATATGTTTCGTCTTCCTCTGAGAGGAGACACAGCCTAACTCTGGCAGTGTCTACTCTGGCAACCTCCCTGTTGCCTTTTGGGAACTGCATCATCCTTACATTCAGTTTCTGAAGAATTTCGTGGGTGGATTTGTTTTTCCACTCAGCAATGGTGATATCTGGTTGTTCATTCCGTTCAGGAGCATCGAGGGTGCTTCTTTGTCGTTTAACTTTTGAATGTTTTGGAAATTCTAGTTCCTCAAAACTCTTAAATTCTGGAAGCCTAGAAATGAAAAGGAAGCATTTCAGACTCCCTGTTTTTCAAGTGTAATCACAAGAAGTGAGAAACTAAATAACTGAAAGGTACTTACTCTTCTGTACCACTGATTCGTAGGAAGTCAAGCTGTTCTACCACAGCTCCTGATATCAGTGTCTAAAACATAAGAGAAGATTCTAAATTCTTAAATTCATCAATCCATACTTTCATAGTTTGTGCACACATTTTTTAATACTACAAAAACAATATAAACATCACAAGTAACAAGTAATCAATAGAAAAGTCAATATGAGATGAATTCTGGTCTTAGAACTACTGGTATTTATTTTGAAGTTAGAATTAAAATAATTCAGTACACATTAAAATAAAAAAGTACTAAAATATTGAAGTTGTTTTGGGAAAAGAACGTGAAGTTACACTTGGATTCTGCTGGTACTATAATATATTTCAGGGTTATCCAATGATGAGGTAAGACAAGCTTCCATTTTTCAGGATTGTGAAGGTACTGATTATTTAATATGGTGCTCCTTTGTACTGTGGCATGTTGCAATATGCACTTGATCATTTTATTTTCCATTAGTTCCTCATTTTATGTTGGGCAAATTAAATGAGTCTGAATGCAAACCCAGTTTTTTGTCAGTAGTTCATGGAGAACAGTACAAATGACATAACCTATAGTTATTTTTAGTACTTTTGTCATTTCTAATTATCTGATGAACTGTCAGAAAACTGAGAAATGTATTGTGCAAATAAACAAGCCATAAATTATTTTTAAAAAACAGACAATTTGTCAATTAAAAGTGTCTTAAATGTGTTATTTCTCTACTTTCTTACTATGCATTTCAAATGTGAAGAAATATGACATAGGGAATGCTGTTTCTGTTCACAAACCATCCACCATTGTGCTGCATTCTCTTCTAGTGGAAAGTCATACAATAGCTCATCAATAAATACTTGCTTACAGGTGGCAGGATGGACATATTACCAGTAACCATCTTAAAGCCTCCCCCCAGAGTTTGAGTTTGAGTTGAGTGAGGCCAAACATGCCTTCTGCACTCAAACTCACTGCCTCTGTCAAGTTACTTGGGCTGTGAGCTCCTGACTATAGAGTCTGCTACTACAGAGAGGTCAGTGCTGACCATAATCAAAGTTTGTTGAATGTTATTTCCTTGCATGTAAGCTAATGGTTCTACATCTTGCTTTTTAGTAAACTAATTTGTCACACAAATATTTACAAACACCTACCATATGCCAGGCCCTATGCTGGGTACCGAAGATATAGCATGAGCAAAATATGTAAAATCTTTGCTCCACTGAAACTGATCTGATAGGTATGTGTGAGGGGTAGACAATAAACAAACTATATACATAGCAGATGTTGATAAGTGCAAAATAAGAAATACATACTAAGTGGAAATGAGAACAGCAGAAGAGAAGTGTCAAGGAAGAGGAGCAGGAGGAGCATGTTAGCTACCTTATATAAGTGATACACAGGTCTTCTCTAAGACTTCTCGGATACAGTGACAGAAACGTAAGGAAGAACAGCATCAGTGATAAGAAAATGAAGGAAGAGGTGCGCAGGCTGGGGAAATACAACCTGAGGCAAGAGCATGCTTAGTGTGTAAGAAGCAGTAGGGATGGGGCTGTTGTTGAAATACAATAGATGAGTGAGATAACAAGACAAGGTCAGGGGTACTGGTCCAGTCCATGGATAAAACACAGACCTCTGAAGGACTCTGGTTTCCACTTTGCATGAGGGAGGGAATCAGTGGAGGCTTCTGCTGTGTGATATAATCTAACTGCCTCTGCCCAGGTAGGGTATGAAGAAGTTACATGTCTTTAGGAGATGAGTGCAAAAAGTCTTGGTAAGAGATGATGGTAGCTAGATCATGCTATCTCTAAATGTAATAGGCAGTAGTTAAGTCTAGATAGAATCTGAGGGGAGAGATAAACAGGATTCAATAATAGATTAAAAGAATTAAGAATTCTCAAAGCTGATAGCTAATACTAAAAACATAAGAAAAATAATTTTACTTAATATTGTCCATTTTTAATTAGCCTACTCATCCTTATATTCTAATTCTGTCCCTAAAGTAAATGTTTAGTCTAAATAAGTGCCAAATTCCAGTAAAAGTCTCAATGGTTTTTGATTAAAAAAATTTTCAGTTGGTTGTAGAGGCTCCTAATTTAGTTTTGTAAAAAGCATAATTAATTTCCTAATACCAGAGTTCTAATGATAATCATATAACTTAATGCTGTATGTTTATGTTAAATGAAGTGTAATATTCAAAAGGTATTCAATTACTCTAATATATCAATTATATCCCATGAGGTCTTTCCCTGCTCAATATCCTACCTGAGGTTTTTCTCCTTCCTGTCACTCTGTCTACCTTGCTTTGTTTTGCGGTTGGGCTCTACAACTAGAATAAGTCCTATGAGGTCAGGAATCTTGTATATCTTATTTAACTATGAAATCAGTACTGAGAGGGAGAGATCAATACATATTTTTTTAATCAATGAAGAAATATTACATATTTCTCTGAGAAGAGTAGTGAGCAGAGATGAGTAAAGCTTGGCCTGAGAGTTTACAAACCATAAAGTAACAGACACAGGATACTAGTTACACATAAAATAAAGTTAGGAGTTATATTAAAGGCTTAAGCAAAGTGCCAAAGAAATACACAAGCAGGTAAAATTAATTTCAATCCCAGGGTTTTACTAAAAGAGAACTGAACTAAGTCGTAAAATTAAAGTATAACTTAGAAGACAAAAAGGAAAAGAAAAATGTGATACTGCAATACAGTAAGCAACATGATGGGGTAATTTCAGTTACATTCAGAGATTTTAAATGTTATCCAGCATTTGGGTGAGGAGCATTTACCAGCATTTGAGGAGTGGAAAATGTAGTTAGGAATATGCATAGAGAATGTTCTGGTAACAAATTTGGGTAGAGAGACTGAGTTCAGTGATGACAGAAACTGCAGATCATATACTAAGGAGATTTGAAAGGAAAATGCAAGAGAAGCACAAAGTTGTCACTTTTACTTATATTACAGAAGAGATGAAGGAGAGGTGAGAGAGAATGTGGGGATGTTTAACTGGTAAAGTCTGAATTTTGCATAATAAAAAGAGTTCTAGAGATTGGCACACAACAATGCAAATGCACATAAAATGGCTTAGAAGGTAAATTTCATGTAAGTTTACCATAATTTTAAAAAAATGTAAAAGTACAAATTTACATTCACAAGATCTTTCAAAATATTGCTGACCCTAAAAGAGAGGGGTTATATAGTCATGTCACATTTCAGGATATTTTGGTCAATAATAGCATATATAACAGTGGTCTCATAAGATTATAATACAATTGAAAAATTCCTATCATGTACTGATGTACCAGTTGTAATGTATAGTATATTAGCCATGTTTCTGGTGATGCTGGTGTAAACAAATAAATATAGGGCCAGGGATTAGCTCAGTGGTTCCAGCACCAGCCTCACAAGCGCAAGGTCCTGAGTTCGATCCCAGGTACCAAGAAAACAAAAAACAAAAAAAAGCAAACAAAACAAATAAATATACTACTGGCTAATATATTTTTGATCAGTATTTTAGTGTACTCCTTCTACTTATAAAACTAAAATGTTTACAAACAAAAGAGTATGCTGTGTTCTGCTGGCAACAGCCTCCTACATCTTGCAATTACCCTGTCTTTTGATGGCATCATCAGGCCATGTCAAGTAATCTAAGCCATCCAGGTTTGTGTAAGGATGTGCTGATATTTGCATAATGACAAAGTTGCCTCAAATGCAATTGTGAGAATGTATTTTTATCATTAAGGATATTTAAAATTTGGGGATAGCAGAACTAGGAATTGAGCCCAGAGGTACTCCACCACTAAGCTACCTTCCTCCCTTTCTATTTTGAGATAGAATTTCACTAAGTTGCCCAGGCTGGCATCAAACTTGTAATCTTCCTGCCTCTTAGCCTTCTGAGTAGCTAGGATTACTGCCATGCACTACCATGCCCAGGTAACATTTTGTTTTTGACAAAATACTTTTAATTAAACAAACAAAAAAAGAGAAGGCAAAAATAAAAATAAATGGTGTGCCTCCATTTATAGTTTTTGAAATGGAAAACTCAATCATGAAAACAAAATTACTCATCTCTAACTTTTAAAGCACAACTAAAAATAGAAAAAATAGATTGAAATAGGAACTGCACATCAAATTCTGCTGCTTAAAGTACAGTGGTGAAAGTTCAGGTGCTTGAGTATAAAAAACACTAAGCCAAGAAAATGGAAGTCATGAGTTTTGCCCTCTCCTCTGTAGTGATCATTTTAAAGAGCTCCAGTTTGCTATTTGTAAAGGAGGTATTTGGATGAATTATCTCAAGATCTTGACCAACTTGAGCTTTGTGTGCAAGGATACATAAGTGAAAAATTTCCCAATTTCAAATGATGGAGAAAAGTGTCTCTTTCCAACTTTAAAACATAATGCTGTACTTGACATTAAAAGAAAAATCAAAATGAGAAATCTTCAATTCATTGCTTTAAGAAAATATTACCACCTTTTGCACTGTCTTTTTAATTTGTCTATGAGTCTTCAAACGAAACAGAAATGCTTGAAACATGGAATACTCAAGTTTAAAGCAATGTAAAATATTTTAAAGTTGAATGTAGCACAGAAATGAGAATGTGTCAAAGAATTTTAAATGTCAAAACTGATAGTTATTGTATGTCAAAAATGAAAGAGAAAATATTTTCTTTCTGAAATTATGAGTTTTTTCATGACTTTGGTTTTTTACATTAAATCAACGAATACACCTGAAATGTATTTTTCTATGATAGCAGGTGATGCCCTAACTTAATTTATCACTGAAGTATTTGTTAAATAAACTATAAAACATCAGTTTATGTTTAAGTTCTTGTGTGTATAGTGAGGCCAATTACTGTGTTACTTATATTGTATCATCAAATATACTAAGCAAGTACCACACTGTTTGGGTTCTCAATTTTAGTGATCAAAGTTTTTATTCAGAACTTGTTTTATTCCTTTTTAATAGTTTTAAAGTTTTAATAAAAATTATCCAAATTGTTATTTAATTTCTTAAATATACTGATCATAGTTATTTTAAAATCTGTCTCTGATAATACCAATACCTAGAACAAATATAGGTCTATTTCGGTTGTGTTTCCTCTTCACTATTTGTTTCATCATCTCCCCTAATTTTTAAATGAAAGCGAGACACTGTATATGCATCATTGTAGAAACACTTTCAGGGTCTGGATAACGTTATTTTCTACCTTTGTGAGGTCTGAATTCCCTTGTAAAGCCTTTCAGGTTTCCCTATACACCTACTAAGTAGTGTTTGCTTTCATTTCTCTAATTTTTGGTAAACAAATGGCTTTTTCTCTGGTCAAAGATACTGTACTCAATAGTAAAAGGCACAGTAAGGAGCAGAAACTGCAAGGATCAAAGGTGACAGTTTGGATACTTCACAATGGGACCCCTAGGTCCCTTCTCCCAACCAATCTCACAACACAGAAGCAAAGTGCACAGTCTTTATTTTAAAATCAGATATTTATTTTTTGGAAAAACTGAAGAGCTTCAGAGAAGCTCCAGATCCAGATTCAACCTCAGAGAAGATCCAATATCTCTAGATAATGGCACTTGAAACTTCCCTCAAAGAGCCTTTGCTATTGAACTATTTTATAAGAAAATGTATCAAGGCATGCATCTTTCTCCTCCATACAGCTTCCTATAAATTTTTTACTTTTTTATTTTAAAAAATGATGGGATAGCTAAATACCAGTAGATATCTGGCAAGTATCTTCAATATGAAAGACAGAGAAAAAGAAATCTGAAAGCAGTAAAAATTTTAAAAAGCTTCTAGCTGATATCCTCAAAAAAATAATACAAAGTATAACATATACAAAACAAAAGCAGGTTACAATGAAAAAGGGAATTTTAAAGCATGGTGCTGGAATGCTAGAAAAATCTGCAAGAAAAAAAATCAAAGAAATTGCCCAGGAAGCTTTACAAAAAGTCAAAGCAACAAAAGATATGGGAAAAATGATCATTTAGATAAAAACCAATCAGATCTACAAAATACAACCACCAGTCAATGGGTATGTAGACCTGTAATTTATAACACTACCTATGTAGGCCCTTCTTTATCAATTTTGTTCTTACTCAATACAGAATTCCTACTATAAAGACCCCATGCAATGATCACAATTATTTTACAGGAAATGAGACCTGAGAGTTATATGGAATACAATTTGAGTAGAGGTCATAAAAGAAGTGTCATTTTTAGCCTGGCACATTTTGCAGAGTTAGCTTTAAAGTCTGTTAAAACTTCAAAGCTCAAAGAGCTTGAAAGAAAGGAGGATATCCAGGAAGAGGAAATGGTAGGAGCAGAGAGGCAGAACTCCTCAAAGTCCAAGACAGAGTAATTAATCTATCTGGCTGAAGTACAAAAGCTGCTGAGGAAGGCAGAATAGCTGTGTTGGCTAATAGAGAACCAAAGCGGCTTCCTAGAAGAAAACAGTGTGTGTGATATTTGAATGGAAGGAGGGCTATCTCCTGATTGAATGCTACAGTGGAGTACGGAAAAGAGCACTGGACCAGAAGTCACCCAACTTGTCTCTAACATCCTAGATTATATAGCAGGTTACCTCATTAACACATATGGACCCAAGCTTCCTCAAATGCAAACTGGAATTTAAAGATGAGCTACTAAAGTCTAAAATTCTGTATAGGAAACACTCCTGTAATCAGACAATTGATATGGAGACAACAGGCATAGGAATATAAGCACAAAATAAAACTGTGAGTCAAAACCTTAAAGGGAACAAATAGTAAGAAATATAGCTGTAGTTCAGATTAACTGTTCTGAAAACAGAAGCACTGAAATTCAACAGACTACCTGTAGACGATCAACATGAACTTTGACTCCTCCAATTATTCCTTTTTTAAAGGCTGCCAGCATATCTAATATGGGGTTGAACCGGCTACCTCTGAAAAATGAAATAATCAATAAAATGAGCATATTAGTCATAGGAAATTAGTAATCTAATACTATCTTTTGTATATGTAAAATACTATGCCACCTGCTAAGACAGATACAAAAACACAAGGAAACCTTGCTTCTAAAGGGTTCACAGTATTAACAGCCATGAGACATACACACCTTACTTCTTTCATCAACCTACCTTATATTGTCTTCCCGGATAAGAACAAGAAAAAGTGGACGTCCATGCATTTTCCAATATTGCTTAATGAACTGTAGAGCATTCTACCAAAACATAAGAGTGGGGCAAGGTGTAATGTCATAATATCTGAGCAGATGAGGATCCTTAACCATGTGAGGCAAAGAGTCAATAATACGTATTAATAGAGTGCACAATCAAAACCTGGGTAAATTAGAGTACTTAGAAATATGGAAACCCTTTTAAACCAAATTTTGCTCTTTAAAGTAATCACATCACCCATGTTTTAAGGCTCCCTTGCTGAGAATGTCTGTACTCTGTTGTACTTGCTCACACTTTTCCTTTCTCTGCCTAAGAAATAAAGCTCAAGGTTCCAGGGAGAAAAAAATATCATCTCGGTGCTGTTATCCAGAAGAATAATTTCCACTCTATATTACTGTGGATTTCTATTACAGCAGATAGTAGAAATTGAACTGAATCTATTCTATCCAAACCATCAGAAATGGGGAGAGAATTATTTGACTAAATAATCTACCTAGTCACCTACCTACCACCAAGCTACCTATACAGGCATCATATTAAAGACCTCCATAACACCCCATCAAGTACCAGGCACTATGCTGAATGTTTTATATATATACTAATTAATTTAATTTTCAGAACATCACTATTACTAATCAGTTTTAAGAAGAAAAACCAGGCACTGAAGAGCTTGCCCAAGAACAGTTGGTAAGTGACAGAGCCAAGATTTTAACAAACGCAGTCTGGCTCCAGATTTCATGCTCTGGACCATGAGGCTGATTCTCTGCTGTGCAAGTAAAAAGGGGAGTTTAACTCAACAACTTAAGAGTTGAGGTCTTACTGGGCATACTTCATAAGAAAATTATTTTGCTAATCTGACTTTTGTTAAAAAAGAAATAAACAAGTACTGGCATTTTAATAGTTTTAAAATAGTTCTCCTGCTTTTAGAACCTATATATTTTTATTCGATTTGTAGAAAGGTAACACAGCAATGACATAACTTTATGTAAGACAGATTCCATCTAATATTCTAATGCTGCAGTAATCTAAAAACTCTTTGACCAAACGTGTGTTTTATTTTCAAATTTTAAACTGTGTTAACTCATTGTAAAAGATACCCAGAAGCACTCAATTTAACAATATATGATAAAATCAATGGGAAAAAATATCATCCCATTTCAACCAAGAGGTATTATGAAGCTACCTTTATGTCATCTATCAGCAGTAAAACATCTTGAGACATGTAGAAATCACTTAAGTCGAAAATGATAGGGTAACAAACCACAGTCTTTCCTAGAATGCGATAAATCTGTAAAGAAAATAAAAACTAAATACAAACTATACTAAAGACAAAGGTACAGTACCATAAATCTCAATAAAAATTAAAACTGATGCTTAGAGTAAGCAAATAGCTTATAAAACTCATACAATTTTAATTATAGTTTCTTGATTCAATTAGTATGCCAATAAAGTAGATCATCCTTAATTAGATCTTTCCCAAAAGGATGGGAAAAGCCTCTGATTAAATAAATATTATTATAAATAAGGTATTTTACAAAGCTTAGAAATAACATAGCAGGATGATGATTTACTCTCAGAAAGCTTCTGTGATATAATGTAAAATACGATTTACTTGCAGAAAATAATAATTCAGATGATAAGCCCAAGTATAAATGACATATCATTTTACTAGGAAGTATTATAATACAAATGTTACTCAATGAGGAAATTTTCTGAGCACCTTTGATGTACCGAGGCAGCCAATGGGCCTATCTGGCCTTCCGGAGAGTCCTAACTTTTCATTGATGCCCAGGTGGAAATAAGCCTGTAATACACAAGGTTGTAAATCAGGTAAGAACCCCATGCTTTGCTTTGCTCTTTTCTTTCTCTTTCTTTCCCTCTTTCTCTCTCTTTTCGTCTCCCTCTTCCTTTCTTCCTCCCCCCTCCTTCCCCTCTTCCTTTCCTTTCCCTCTTTTCTTTTCTTTTTCTTTATTTTTTCCTCCCCTTCTCTTCCCTCCCCTCCCTACCCTTCCCCTTCCTTCCTTCCTCAAGGATGACCACTTAGACTTGGGGTTACTGAGCTTTTGAGAGCAAAACACTTGTCATAAACATACAACATGCATGGTTTTGATTCATAAAAGGACTCAAAAGACACAAATGTTTCATGTATCACTAAAAAAAAATGGCTTCTTAAAAAAGAAAACACCATTAATTTTCTCCTAGCTTTTCACATTTCAGTATTTCCTAATAAAATGGAATCATTTGTACTGATATTTCTGATTATATGAGTTTCATAAACCAACGTGTATAGTCTTAGGTCTTATTTTTTCTCACAATATCTTATGAAACAATTTGACTTTGGTATTTCTTCAAAGGGTATAATTTATTATGCAATCCCAGGAAACACCAAAAGTATATCTGTCATAGATTTTAAAAAGTACATAAATATACATTCACCTTATACACATACATCAATATATGCAAATATACATAAATGGGTTCAAATAATACATAATCTGTATTGTGACCCATTTTTTAAACTTAACAATGTGATGTTACAGTTTCAAGATGTTAAAATGAATCTATGCATCTTCTATACTGCTAAAACATACTGATGGGGAAAAATTCTGCAGAAGTATTCGAAAACAGGGAAACATGCCACAGTGAAGCAGAATCTTTCAGAATTTCAGTAAAGTAAAAGCAGATAGCCTTATAAATCTTGGAAATAGGAGTTAATTAGGAATTAGGAGTTACTCAATTTCAGAGCTGAGCACTTAATCCAACCTAGAAGTCTCCTTATCCTAATTAAACCCATTCTCTGACATAGGTCACTCCTAATTTTTGTTATCTTAAAAATAACTCAGTAACATCTCTGGACAGTATATAATTATATTCCAGAATAATCTCCTAGACTTCCTTGATCAAAGAGAATGTATCTTCTTTCAAACATAATGCTTGGTTGGTTTTCTACTAGAAATAATGTACAAATGGACACTGGCATTTACCAGTGCACAGGCCTCTTTGTCACTATCTTGGGTCAAAATCATATTTCATTTTACTTTTAAAAAATACTGTGTTCAAATATTTTGTGGTTGAGCATTTTTCAATACAGTAAGTGGCTATTTGTATGTTCTATTTTTTTCATTTGTTCCTTTTCTACTGAGTATCTGTCATTCTTTTTTATTTGTATGAGATCTTGAGAGTCAAATATACCCTTTTAATCAAATATTTTACCAGTTTTCACTTCTCCAATGTTATTATGAAATGGGAGAATGACTGCATGATAGGTTAAACATTTCAGAATGTGGCATTTCAATCTAAACATTTTTTCAACTAAGAAATATTATAAGCCCCTTTGATGTACCAGGTTGTTTATGCTACATTTAAATTTTTCAATCACTTTCTTATTGCTTCTTGGCACTACTGTCATTCTAAGAATGGACTTTCCCTCCCAGTAGCTATAAAAGTATTCTGTTTCTCTTCTAATGATTTTATACTTAAACCACCTTAAAATATTTAAATTTTTAAGCTGTCTGGAATTTGATGAGAGTTAAAAAAATCTAAATTTTCCTAAATGGAAAATCAAACCAACTGTTTCTACACAATCTCTTGATTGTGATTTGAACTGATTTCAAATAACAGCTTCATCATATACACAATTAACCAGAGTTCTCTGTTCATTCTGCTGTGTCAGAGTTAGCTCTTTCTCTTTCTCCTTCTGAACTGTACATTCTTAGAAAATAATAGCATCTCTAACTTGGCCCTATGCCTGGCATATAGCTGGTATTCAGGACATACTTGACGATGACTGAGAGAACAACTAAATGTCCTCCTAAGCTACAGGTGCTACGAATAATGATTCTGCAATAAGCATGACATAAACCAACTGGCCAGAAAAAAACACTCTATAAGCATATACATAGCTACCCTGAAACTAGCACATAACACCAGATAGAGCCACTATTCCCTCAAATACTTTCAGTTTTTCAGAAATAAAGTATGCCTAAACTACTTTACATTTATTTTAGACAAGTGGTTATATTAATTAATCATGCACAAGTTAAGACACCAATCCAGGTAGAGTTCCTTTAAGTATCACTATTTACTTCAGTAAAAGATTATTTTCAACAGTTTCAAATATGGGACACCTGGTCTCTGCCGAGCAGACAGATCTGCATTTCAAGGTGCAGATCTGTTGCCCCCACCTTGTGCACAGTCACAATACATAGCAAAGACCATCCACAAGAACAAGAGTACTTCACATTAGGTCTGTATGTAAGAGCATAAACCTGTATTTATATCAGGAAGCAAATCACACCAGTGTTAGCGTTATCGTGAACATTAACCACACACTGCAAAACTCATGCTCTCAGCTATTTTCCCTTATATGCTTTTCATTAACTTGAATGAAGAACACTGTAGCTTTTCAGAAAGGATCAGCTATTGCTGTAAGAATATGTATACCAACTAAGATTTAAAGGAACACATTTACTTTCAAAAGACTGAATCATAAGGCGCCGTATGTTGCCAGTACACCCTGAGGATGAATCCGCTAGTTTGGAACACAGAGGCTGCACATAAACTACCATCTTGACACGTGTACAAGGAAGCTGGGTGTTTGATGACATTTTTTTTTTTTTTGTACCAGGGATCCACAATTTTTTTAGCCATATCACACACCCAAAGTGTAAATTGTTTGTTAACAACATCTAATACAATACAAAGTGAGTCAGACCTGCTGTAAATCCCCACTCACTCCATAACAAAATGTTTTCTACTGCATCTGTGATTCCAAAGCACTCTATATAGACATCTAGTAGAGCACTTATCAAAGTAGACTATAATTATTATTTCACACCACTCGACTCAGAGGTCATATGAGTGCCTAACAGTACTGTGTGCTAGCAGGAGTTTGCTGAAGAAAGAATAAAATGCCATATTGAGGTCATTTGTTAGCTGCATTGGCCTTTCACATCTTGACTACATTATCTGGTAAAGACTCATCTACCATAAAAGTTTGGTAATATTAACTAGACTTGAAAACAACCGATTTTGGTTAATTTGTTTTAAGGATATTTTTATCAAAGACTAAGCTTCATTACCATTCTTCAGAACTTTCAGTGAGAGACCATAAAAGTGTGCCCACAAAAACAACCTACATCTGAGTAAGTGCACTGTGTGGGAATGTTGTGTCATCTCCCAGCTTTGGAGCTCCTCCATTCCCTTTTGGTCACATTTATCCTCCTTCACCATAAAATATAGCTCTTGACCATTTACATCGTGGTGTGATTTTAAAGTGTAAACTACTCAAAGGATTCTTGTGTTTTCAGCTTTATCTGTTGGGATGGTTGATTGATTGATTGTGTCAACATGAGAAGTTTAGTTAAGAGAGGCTAACCTCAATTGGCTCAGCAATTTTACACTCTCAGGTGTGGAAGATCTAGCCTAGGGTGACTCTTTATCATCTGGATGGTATAGAGGAGAAATGAGGAAGGACAGATCTGCTTCTGTTTCTCTACAGACATCATCTCCTGGTTTCCGGTGCACATCCTTCAGCCTTACTGCATAGACTCTTCAGGCTTCTATCAAAGACCCATTCGCCTCCTGATACATACTCACAAGGAACACTGCAGTGAGCTCCAAACCTTCAACTAAATTCTTCAGTCTCCAGTGTGCAGACAGACTTTCTGGACTTTTCCTTATCTGACTTTGTGGGTGGCCATTGTAAGGCAATCTTGTAAATTCATATGTCTTTATATATATTATGTTATATCTGTTTCTCTAGTAAATACTGATACTACTAGGATGGGGAAGTCAGCTCTAAATTTGTTTGAGGGAGCTTTAAGGATCCTCAAGAGCTGGTGCTGGTGGTGATCTGACTCCCAGGTTCTGGTTTTTGCTGCCTATGGGCAAGGTCCAGCCTGGTGATCTGCAACAATGGGGTCCTACATTTTCCCATGTAATGTGTACCTCAAGTCTCTAAGCCTTCATTCTCTTTGGAGCATCAAGGCTTTGACCACAACCATTATATTAACCTGAACAACATACCCGTGATCACTTCAGATATACTGTTATAAACACTCCTGCCAAACACTGGGGAGTTTGTTTCTCTATTGCTTTTAAGAATTACCAAGTAAAAATGGTAATTTATGAATAACCAGCAGAAGCCAACAATTTCCAGTCTAATAAATACAAACCCAGCCACTTCTTGATTCATTTGCAGAGGAGTGTATGCAAAAGGCACCAAAAGTCACCTTTCAATCTCATCCTAAATAGGTATGTTCTACATCAAAGATAAACTCAGACATTATTTTATAATTTCTTTGAGACCCAACAAACCAAAGAGGTAGGAATTACATTAGATTCCAAATAATAAGGGAAGTAGTGGCTACCAAAAGTATTTAGATATGAAGCTTTTAAACAGTTAATAAAAGGAGAAAATTAAATAAAAATATAAAGAATAATTTTACACATGACAATTAAAATGAAGACAAATTTGTTATTAAGTATTTAGCCTAGGCTAGTAATAAACTTTCATGAGAAGCAAAAATCAGCAAGACCTATGGAATATAATTTAATACACACAATGCAGATTTTTTAATTTGAAAAATAAGTGGACTTTTCACTTAATTAGAAACTTTGGGATTAATGATCCTATCTTAGGTTTGAATTTCAGTTATGGATCTTGGCTATTAACTAAGTCCTACTATCAAGATCTACTATCTCTACAAGGAGAAAAATCCATAATCACTTACTTTTACAAGCTCCTGCTGAGGCCATATCTGAATGGGCTCTACCTGTTGAGGAGTTTGAGTTTGAATACCATATGTGTTGAGAAAAACCTGAAGGCTAAAGAATGTAGGGAAAAGAAGAGAAACACATCTTTATACAATGCATTTATAGTTCAGGAAATGAATGAGAAAGCTAAAAGGCAATGCTAACTTGGGACATAGTATTTATTTGTAATATCTGCAATATGCCACATGCACTGGAATAGAGACCCTCCTGGATGCTTCCCAAAACATCAGACAAGAGCTTTAGGGGCTGACAGGAAGAGTAAATACTAATTTTGGCAAACCCCATAATGCATCTGCATTAATTTATCAAAACTATACCCCAGGCAATACTGGCACTGGTTACAGTTTTTAATATTTATATCATCTAAGATTAAATTATTTTTAAACAGGAAAAAAAATTTTGTGCTGGCACTTAAAAATGACATGAATAACATCCTTGAAACCATGTGAAGAGGCCTATGAAATTAATCTCTATTACCATTGTCAATATGGGAAGCATAAAGCAATCATTTCCCTCCCCCTCCCCAAAAAGAATACACACTGCCCATACGGATTCCATACCGTTGGCTTTCTGCTACAAGTGCTACATGAATGACCAAATCATTTTCCAGTGGACCCTGTAATATAAAATAAGGGAGAAAAAACATTTAAAAAGATTTGTCCATCGTCAACTACAATGAGAATCAAGGACAATATTAATCATCTCTAAGCAGTTCATTAAAATGATGGACACCAGCTGGCTCTAAGTATCCCCTTTTCTTTCCTTGCTTGCCACTGCCGACTAATCAATTTGATGGTGTAGACAGAGTAATGGAACACCAAGGAATGAAAAGTCATAAATCTCATTACTACCAGAGGGACTAGATTGTCAGGGCTATTTTGAATGACGCATAAGAGTAGTTTGGGACTGAGAGTCATTTTCCATCATTTAATTCTGAAGGGAAGAGGAGGAACTAAAAATAAAAAGTCCATTTATATATTTTCTGTAAAAAAATGACTGAGTTAAAACTTTTTATTTGACATCTTAACCACATATAAGGTTATTCCTTTTCTTGTTAGCCAATTTTCCTTTGGCATCTTATGTATTGAAATATCTTTATTCTAATACAGAGTTATTTGGTAGCGAATGAACTATCCAGTTGACTATATAATTAACATTATGTTCATTAAATACAAGCTGTTGTCCTTAATAGTTCTAATGAAAGACAGTATTGGATATTTGCTACTCTTTGTGGAAGAGATTCACTATAACATATATTATATATTATTAAAATCAAACCAATTTTAAGTCTGTGTATAATTAACAGAGAACATTAAGAAGTACCAATAAATTATAGTCTGAGGGACCTCTAAAAATGCTGATCAAATATAACTCCTTTTTGGTAATGAATCCAACATTACCAATAATAAGCTGTAAAACATCTGATTTACAGCAGTCAGTTCCTCTCCATGGTATTCACTATGCTACTACAATTTATGTATGATGGCAAGAAAGAAACACCAGAATACATTAATCAGCTGTAAATATACAATCAAAGGGATGGTTCACAGAATCATCATGAAAACGCCATTACAAGCAGACTGGCATATGATTTAAATGAATGTATATGAGAAAATACATAATAATCCAAGAAAAACAAATACACATTTAATATTATAAATTCTGTTTTTATTTAATAATGACCTTACAATTAAGTCTTTCTCAAAAGGATGAGAAATTAATTATTCAGAATCTCATCAAGATTTCAGTTATTTTCCTCATTGAGTTTATTGGCACATTTTAGGTATACAGTACAGTTAAATTCATTATTAGGATCTTGTACCTTTACATGACAGGTCTTGGTTCTCATTTTTTTTCCCCTTGCCCCTGCCCTCCCTTCACCCTCTCCCTCCTCCCCATTTACAAACATTTTATTTCCATTTTCTCCTATTTTTTTCTTTTCCCTTATTACCTTTCCCCTACCCTTCCCACTCTCCCTACACCTTTAGCCCTTTCCTTCCTATTTCACACTGTCAATTATCTCATTAGGATCTTATGTACTATTATAGTTTTTCACACCAGAGAAACTATTTGGTATTTACACGTGTGACTTATTCATCAAGATTTCTAACAAAAAACAATTAAGCTGACGATGCTTAGAATAGGAGTTACTTTTTCAAACGGAGGATTACCCTTAGAATGGGCCATCATGTACAATCTTCAAAACAACCATGGCATTCTCAAAAAGCAAGTGAAAAAAATAGATATATATACACTAGAATACAGAAGCAATTTCAGCAACAGTAAATAAGGCAGCTAACACATCCTAATGGATAAATTGGTATCTTCTTTTTAAATCATAGACCTGTTTAGGATAATGTTGTTTCCATTTGTATGATGGAGTACTCGGATCTAAAATGGCCACTATACATGTTGAATCATGGTGAGCATGGCGAGGGATTATTAGATGGCTGAATAATTCTTCAAATATAAAAACCCAGCACCTTAGAAGTTTTGATTCACAAGCCATCGGCCATAATGAGACTAAGCTTTCCAGTTCAGCCTGAGTAGAACTCCTCATACTTCTCTCCTCACAGAAAGAATTCAGCATCTGCAGTTCTATCATAATTCTCCTTTCCTTTCACTGCCCAAGAACCATCTTTTCTTTGTTTTTTTCATTTTTTAAAAATTACCATCATTACTATTTAATGAACAACTGTCCAGGCAAAATCCCAGTTCTGTGTTTAATCAATAAAATGGAAATGATAATATTTAGAGTGTTTACCACACACACAGAGGATCAGACAAAAGAGAACCTATAAAATATGTATAAATTTTAATCTATTACATGTATCACTTCATAGTTTTACTTGTTAGGTGACTATGTCATTTTACCCTGCAATAAGCTTTGGTTTGTTCATTTATACATCAGGAATAATAAAAAAATATCTACTTCATAGAAGTGTTATGAGGATGATATATAGCATATTAACATTTAACATGGGCATATAATAACAATTAAAAAAATAGCTAGCTTCTTCATTAACACCAGTAACATAACCACAACGCTCAGCGAATGTACTAGGATTTCTTAGTTTTCTGCTTTACACCTGCCTTTGTCCATTTTCTGTACTTAATTGTTGGGTTAATTTTCTCATATGAGTATTTACATGTAAGACATGGTCAGAAAATATTGCTGAATTAATGAATGAAGAAAAAAGCAGAATGACGGGTAAGTACACAGATAGATCTAACATCTAGGACATCAGTTCTCTATGCTAAAACAAGTACTCTCCAAATAAAGCCCAAATTTCCTGAAGTTTCAAGTTCTTTTTCAACTTTGCTGAAATCTACTGTCCTGTTCCTGTTTCCCATCTATGTTGAGCACTCCACTAAAGAGACAGTTCACTCATGTCTGCCTCAAGTTTCTGCCCATTGTCCATCACATCTGAACTACTGGTCCTCTCTGTTTATCCAGATACTGACTCACTTTTTACCCAGTTTCCTGCAAAAACTCCCTCAAATGTCAGAATATTCAAATATCTCTTCTTCCTAGTAGCAAGAGCAGGAACTGTCTATATGAATCACTGGACGTTAGTCATCGATGCCTCATACCATCTCTTTGTAAGGGTTGTCAGTTGTATGTATAACTACAGAGCCTACAGAGCCTGAACTTCTTGAAGGGCCCCTCATGCTTGCTCTTTTTCACTGGGGGTAGTAATATCTTTAACTAAAAGAAAGGCAATTGGTATTCATTTGATAGTCTGGAAGAACATTTTTAGTACTGCTGATTACATTTATTGGCAATACATAAATTTTCCCTTGAGCACATAAAACAAATATTCATAAATATAAACAAGGTTTTTTGCTGTTGTTGTTCAATATGGGGACTGGACCCAGGGACTCTGAATTGAGTCACATCCCCAGTCCTTTTTAATTTTAAATTTTGAGACAAGGTCTCACTAAATTGCTAAATTGCCCTGGCAGGCCTCAACCTTGCAACCCTCATGCCTCAGCCTCCCAGAATGCCAGGATTACAGGTGTGTGTACCACCGTGCCTGGCTAAAAAAGATTATTTTTAACAAAAGGAAATAATCATAAATAAATGTACACACAGTTATATAAGGAACAAAAAATGCAATAAGTCATATTATTTACATGCTTGAAAACCAACAACATACAGTTGTAAATATTCTGGTTCAAAGTTTACATTTTTAGGGCCAGGGATTTAGTTCAGTGGTTCTGGCACCTGCCTTGCAAGCACAAGTACCTGAGTTCAATCTCTGGTACTTCCCCAAAACAGTTCACATTTTTATAAATAAAGTTGGACTGTATTTTTTAAAAATTTTCATTATGATAACAAAAACACATACATTTCAACATCTTAATCAGTTTTCATACCATAACTTACCTATTAGCTGGACACTACCTATGTTAAAGTTGCAACTCATCCTGCTTAAAATTTAAAACTATGGTAATTACGACACTATGTGTACATCTGTCTGGATTCTAGTTTTTAAATTACTCAAATTAGGTCAAAGTATAAGGCTGGGAGATTTGCACCTGAGAGCTATAAATAAAACAGTGCAATAAACTTTCAAAGGATGTACAGAGAAATCTAAATGTGTCTGTGCCCTCAGATTTTCTTCCCCTTGTTCTTTTTTAATCAACTTTTTTCAGTAGATAATTTATTCATAATATTCAAAAATTTAAAAATTATGAAAAAGTTTTCAGAGAATGTCTTTTTCACCCAATCCATTGTTCTTTAACATCTAATGACCACGTAATTGCTATGATTATTCATCCCTCTTTCTTAAATTTCCCCATACCTATAACAGCAAATACGAATATATATTCTTCTCACATTTCTACACAGAAGGTAGCATATCTTAAGTACCTTTCCAATTTAATAATTATATATCATGGTGTTCTTTTCATGTAAGTATGCCTCCATATTCATTCTATTTCATATTCCATTTTCTAGCTATGCCATATTGATGTCATCGTTTTCACATTTTATTTATTTTTTTGGTACCAGGAATCAAACTCAGGACCTTGCACTTGCAAGGCAGGTATGGCACCACTGAGCTAAATCTTTGGCCTTTTTAAATTTTTAAAATTTAAGAATAATAAACTTTTTGGACTGAACTCTCTGGAAATGATTATGATTACATGGTGGCACCATTAAATATCACATTCTAATTTTACTTTTAAGAGGGGAATAACCACTCAACCCAATTCAGAGGCATCACTACTACTTGATCATATGAATCATTAGAAAACTATTTTCAGAAAGACCATTAATTGGATTTTTGGAAGGGGGCAGTGAAAAGAGTATGAGTCTTTTTTAAAAAGATAAAAAGATGCACAGTTATTCACTGACAACTTATTCATGGAGATAATACAATAGCTTATCAATAAGATTTACCTCATTATTTTACTGCCTGTATTGGTCTTTTAGTTGGGTTGAGAATGTTCAGAATGTTATCTCTTGAGAGTGTGCTACATTCCATGTGTTATTCAAGTATGTTGCATAAGCTCATAAGAAATCCCATTTTAAAAATCAGGAAAGTAACACAGAGGTAAATAATTTGCCCAAGGTCATATATCTTAGGTGATAGAACTTGACTAATGATA